GAATTGGCTAATTTGAGACGTCAAGTGGAGGTAATAAATGGGAATTCTCCCCCCATAATAATTTATTGATAAAATGTGTTTCGAAAGTAATACTGGGAAAAACCTTGAAGAAGGGATCTTTAGACTTATATCTGTCATCTATAACCTTAGATACTCTCATCTCATTCATATCATCTCCTAACCTAAAAATTAACTTTAATTTTTAAAGATGTTGAGACAATATACTGGAGATGAAAACCGAACATTAATTCGTCAGATTGAATTACTTCTAGTTCAAAATCAACAATTACATAATCGTTCAGATGCTTTTTATAATGAACAAAAAGAATTACAAGAAAAACTTCAACATTTAAGAAGACATAAAGAAAAATTGGAAGAAAAAATAATGGAACAATATAAAGCTATGGATTCTCGTAAACTTGAAAGGCCAACTTTTATGAAAAGAGCAGCAAAAGCATTAATTGCTAAGGCAAAAGAAAATATTTTATTTAAAATTAAATGGTTTTAAAATAATTTTAGAGTCCAAGCCGTAAAGGAAAGGTCGGAAAGGACGGCAACTCTGCTTCTGATAAATCTGAAGAAAGTTCAATTTACTCGACTGAAAATGAACTTTTAAATGTTGGGGGACATAGAACGCCTACAGTTGGCAGCCCTCCTCCACCTCCTCCATGTCCCGAACCGACAACTTTATCAGAGCATTCAAATGGCTTTTCAAATGGAACTTATTGTTTGTTATATAATTGTTATCTCATTCATTTAGTTAAATTTTTAGCCTTTCATCATTCACAAAATGCATCAAATGGCAATCAAAACCACCACCAACAACAAAATCAACCTCACCAAAATAATCATTATCAATCTCCAGCCAATTCCCCTTTACAAGCTCGTAAGCATTCTTCCTTCACAACACAATCCACTAAAACACAAAATTCTGGAAAAGCACCACAAAGCACTAATATTGGAGTACCTCCTGTTCCTCCGCACAAGCACAGCACAAATAACCAATCCCCTTTACGTTGCCCAAAACCACCACCATTAATTTTACACAACCGTCAACAAAGTTCTGATTCTAATAATTCATTTATTCCAAAAGAAACTTCAATAAAAACTCCAACACAAAATTCTTCCATGGTCCAACGTTTTTTTCAACGTTCTTCTTTGCTTCGTCGTTCAACTCCTGTACAGCAACGACGTTCAATATTAACACCAAGGCCTTCTTTAACAATAACTGAAGAAGGAAATGATGCAAGCTTCCTTCGTCCTTCATCTGTGGCCATTCATCTACCTTCAAATTATGTTCCAGTTTCAACTCCCAATCCTCCACTTAACACACGAGATTTACATGAAGGGAAAGCTGATATCTTTTCAGCTTCTTCCCCTGCCAATCCTTCTTCTAATTCCTCCTCAACTTCTTCAACACCTTCGGCATTGCCTCGCCTTTTACATTGTCGTGAGCGTGCTAGAAGTACTTATGAAAATGTTTGAAAAGGAGGAAAAATTTATTAAAATTTCTCTTTTTCCTCCGCCTGGATTTTTTAAAAATCAAAGAAAATTCTATCCCTGGCACTTGATATTTTTTTCACTTTGTATAGTATTTGTGATTATATGTACGTGATATGTAATATTACATGTTAAACTAAAATATATAAATATTTGTACGTTTTTTGTTTTAACCTTGTTTGTATATTAATTACACCCACTCGCACATACACACTTTTTTACTTCAAGAATTAAGATTTATATAACATAAACTTTTAACAGAAATATTTCCTCATTCTCGTGCTGCTTCTACTGCTACAGCTTGTTCTTCAAGCCTTTATTCCTCAATTAGTAGTAATTTCTATAATCAACAACAAAACATTGACCGTCCTCGCATTATAGAACAATCTCCCCCTTCAATTAATGGATCTAATAATTTTAATTCTCCCATAATGTTAATGCGTGCTAGGAATGGCAGAATTGGCGGATCATTGCGATACCCTCCTTCTAGTACACCTCCAATGGCACGATCTTTCCCAGCACCCCCTTGGCGCAATTCTTCTATAAATGGGCGAAAACAGGAAGAATTTATTAAATCTATGAATCAAAATGATTCAAATATTCAAAAGTTGCCAGCTTGTTGCAAAGTTATGCAAGCTGATGTTCTTCCAGAAGAAGGTGAATTAATATTTTAAATTTGTGTGGATCAGTCATTTAAAGTACCAATCGCAAAATTATGTCTATTACATTATTTCTTTAAAATTATTTAAACTTCTTAAAATTAATTACCTAATCCATTTAAACTAAATAGATTTGATCAAAACGATACTGGTATCGGCCAACCCGAGACCGAGATTGACCGATACTCAAGAACCCGATACCGAGATCGATACCATCCTTTTGAGCCGAGACCGATACCGAGAAACGATACTGGAGACTAACAAAAAATTTTTTATTTTATTGTCAAAAAATGCGTGTGAAAATAATTTATTCATTATTTTCATCATCCAAATCATCAGATAAATACTCTTCATCGTCTGGATCCACTCAGGCTTGGCAATGGATACAAATTTTTGTGTCCGTATCCGAATAGGTATATCCGTGAAGTCGACATCCGTATCCGATTATATCCTTAAAACTTTTGAGGCATATCCATCCGCGGGTATTCGCGGATGGCCGAAGTGAAAATTTCGGTTAACCAAACCATTATTACAGCGCCGAGGCAAAAATTTTTAGAATTTTAGAAGTGCAAGTAACAGATTTCTTCCAATTTTCAGCGCCGCAGGCAAAAATTTATGAATTTTGGAAGGCCATGAAGCCAGATTTCTTCCTATTTTCAGTGCCGCAGACAAAAATTTGAGAATTTTGGAAGGCCATGAAGCCAGATTTCTTCTAATTTTTGCCCTCAGATACGCAAACTCAATGCGCTCATCCCTGCTTCTGATCATTTTAAATCCCCTTAATCCACTGGTGGGAACAACAGTTGCCGAAAATCGTGAGGCTCTGTAATCAAAATCTTGAAAATCTAAAGGCCGAGGGCTCGGAAAATTCAACATTTCAGCGCCGCAGACGAAAATTTTTTGAATTTTAGAAGACCTTATTCGAAAACAATTCACTTTCTCTGTTATGGACGGATATCTGAAAAAAATTATGGACGAAAACTTGGACAATATTGAGAATTTTGTTTCTTTGAGTCAGTATCGTTTCTCGCCGAGAAATGGACCGAGAATATCGGTATCGGTTTCGAGACCGAGAATGAAAAAACCGAGGCCGATATTGGAAAAAAGCCGAGAATCTCGGTATCGGTCTCGGTATCGGTCTCGTCTTGATCAACTCTAATTTAAACAGAGGAACGTGTAATAAATCGAATGACTCAATCTGTACTTCCCAATCATCAAAAAACCCAAATTCAACAACCACGTATTATATCCCAATCTTCTACCACAAGTTTATTACCTAAGAGAGCTCCTCCTCTCCTTTCTACTCAAAATAATCAACAGCAATTTACTAATCGTCCACCACCCCCTCCATATCCAGGAAATTCTTCAGTTAATTTAATTAATGCAGGACAGTCAAATAAAGTTTTTGATGACTTTAGAGTCAATGGAATTGGACAAACGAATGTAAAAAATTAAATAATTTTTTAAATTATAAATGTAAATCGTTTTATTTTTATGTAAAACCCCCAAAAATTTTGCAGAATTTAAACAAAAACAACAACCATAAAGTGACGTGTTCTCCTAATATTCATTGCAATGATGATAATAACAATAATAATTTAATTCCTTGCGATACTTCCACCCCAAAATCTGTTGCAGACTCTCCAAATTCATCAATAAAAAATTTTCATTACCAACCACATACACAACTAGTAAATAACATACCATCGCCAATTGAATTTTCACGTGCTAATAATGTGAATGGATTGAAAAAAGGTGCGAAATAAATATTTTTTGTAATATTTTTTAATTCAAAATTAATTTATTCAATATTTTAATTTACGATTAATTACAATGGGACTTTGGATTTATATACTCCTCAATTTTTGATGTTGTTAAAATTTCATTAGCCTCTGAGCGGGAGGGGTGTGGGTTAATAATCAAAACATTTAATTTTTTTTATCAAAAGGGTATTTAGAATTGAGAGCCGACCGTATTTTTAAAATCTAGCAATTTTTAATTTTTAGTAGATTCATCCCCTTCCACTCCTCAACCTTCTAGAAATGTACTTTGCTTGGATACTAAAAAGTCTCTCGTTGTTTCTAACAAAGATTCTCAAAAAATAACGGAGAATTTAAATATAGAACGTCCCGAACGCGTTCCAAGTATTTATGAAAATGCATCAAAAAATGGAGAAAATTCTGAAATTAATGAAAAGGAAATCAAAGAAGAATTAAATAATAATAAAACAATAGAAAAACCATCTTCTGATGTAGGTGAAAGAAGAGGAGATAAAAGAGCTATTTGGTATGAATTGGGTTGCGTTTGAGATTAAAGATTAATTTTTTTAATTCATTAATTCGCAAAATAAATTCCTATGATTTACATTTTTCTTTCAATTTTTATTTTAATTTTTTATATTTTATTTTAGCTTTCATCAATTTATTTAAGGAATTCTTAAATCCTGAAATTATTTAATTTTAAAATTCTAGCAAATAATCCACAAAAAATTTCATTGAAATTATAGAAAATTAATTTTAAAAATTTTAATGTTAAGTTCTGATAAGCCCTCAAACTTAATTTTCTAACAATTTTAAACATGTGAATCCCTCATTTTTATTTTTTATAATCACTGCCTTCCCTTTTACACGCAAACTTTTTACTTCAAAAACTTTCTTGTCGGCCTTTTCCTTTTGTAATTTTTCTAATAATTTGTAATAATTTACTTGAGAATATAAATATATATTTAATAAACTTTTTCTTTTGTTTTAATTAATTACTATAAAATATTTAAATTCAAAAATTATTTAAAATTAACTAAAAGTGGAAATTCTTGATTAAAATTGCTTTCCAACTTTTAAATTAAACGAAATAATGTTTTTTATTAAAATAATAACATTTTTGATTTATTTCCTCATCCATTCTCCTTGAACCATATTTATTCCAATGACGGTATGGCCCATCAAAAGGGTCAAAAACACTAAATAAAGGTTTTGGGGGTATTTCATACCTTTTTATAATTTAATTAAAAATAATATATTTATTTATTTACATATAGTCATAATCAAATGACCAATAACCAACACGACTTTCATTGGAAAAATTTCTAAAATTTTTTTTTAATATTTAAAATTTAATGTTTTATTTAACTAACGTTCTGTTATAAGGCACAGCAATCGGAACATTTTTATAAATTGGTGTCACAGAGAAACGCTTATCGTAAATAATTCGGTCACACTTTTTGAAGAGATGTTTTTATAAAAATATTTTTTTAATTACCATAAAGCGTTCTCTCCACATTTTTGAAGGCCAACCAATTCGATAATTAGGTGATTTGTAATAATAATATGCCCATGTAGGTATATGCATGCCTAGGGCATCAGCTAATGTGGAGGGGCCGGAAATTGACAAAGAACGAGTTAAAGGCTTTAAATAAATTTTTTAATTTATTATTATTCTAGAATATATTTTTTACCACTCCCAAAGTTGCTGGTTTAGTCGAAACAATTTCTGCACGTTGCAAATTAGCACAAGATGGCCATTTTTGTATTTTAAGTCTTTTTTCATCATCATCTTTTGAAATATTAACCATTTCCTGAAGAATAATTAATTTAAAGCTATTTTGGATTTTTTTAAGTTTTTGCAAGTAAAAACAAATAAAAACGTGTAATTCTTTAGAGTGGAACAAACATATATACATATTTATTTACTTTTATTTTTAACTTCAAGTATCTGGTAACATCTTTTCTTTCATATTTTTAACTCAAAGTATTTTTAGAAAATAATTTTTCTTTTGTTTTAAACATATGTTTAACTATATTTAATTAAAGTTAACAAACACACACATTCTTTGCTTCTATTAAAATTTTTATTTTATGTTCCTTCCACTCAACAATTATTTAGTTTCTTATTAATTAATTTTATTTAAAAAAGCTTTAACATGAATTATTTTAAAATATTTGCGCTAATAATTAAACTCAAATTTATAATTAGAAATAATTTCTAGAATATTTTTTAACTACATATTTAATCCTATTAAAAATAATATTCCAAATTATTTATTTTAATTTAAATATTTTTATGTAAAATATCATTTTTGGCTTTATTTTTTAAAGGGGTATAAATTTTTCCAATTTAATGTTTTTTTAGTTTATAAAATGTTTTTTCCAACCTCATAATTTTTATTTAAAATCTTAAATAAATTAAAAAAATATTTAAATTATTTATTTATTTAAAATTAACTTCCTCGAAAATATTTCCGTTTTATTTTCTAATAATAGATACTTTAATTTAAATAAATCCTTTACTCTTTTATTTTTATTTTTATATAAATTCAAGAATTTCATCATTTTTGTTTTTCCATTTGCCAAAAAAATTTCCGGAATTTAATATTATTTTTTTATTTATTTTAATTTTTAATTATTCATCACTGAAATTGGATCAGTTATTTTTCATTCTTTTTTTCACAGCATTCCATTTGTTCTCCCAAAAATTCATTAAATTATATTAGAAATACCTTTTATTTGGAATGCCGGTATTTTGGGAATGTCGCGACATATAAATAAATAAAAATATATATTATTTCCAAAAAATATTTTTACTAAAAACCCTCCAAAAAGTCCCTTATAAATGGCGTCATTTTGTTGTAAATGAGAAAAAATGTGGAAGCTAAATATAGCTAAATAAATAAATATTTATTTATTATTATTTATAAATAAGATGCTTTTAACCAAACACAAGTACACAAGTAAATACATAAATTGTTTTTTTATATATAAAAAAGTAACAAGAAAAAAGATTTCTAATTTTATATTTAAAGTGCTTATTTATTTTTTTTTAATTTATAAAAGGCTTCCTCCCAATTAAATACTAAATCGACGTTTAGTGCTTCTTATTACTTATGTTTTACATTCCAGAGTGTTTTATATCTTTATAATATTCTGTTTAAATAAACTTTTTCTAATTTTTTATAATTTATTAATATGTCAGAAAAATTTTTATTTAATTCTTAGAAATTTAATATAAAAATTAACTTATAAAAAAATTAATTTAAAAATTAGTATTTTAGACCAGTTAATTTATTTATTAACTAAAAATATTGTTTTTATTAAATCATAGCAAAATAATTTTTTAAAAGAATATTTTAATAAATTTAAATGCAAATTTAGATTTTTAATTATTAATTATAAAATATTTTTAAAAATTTGCAAAGTTTGCAGATTTAAAAATAAATAGCAATTACTAAATAAAATGTTTTGGTATAATTATTATCGTTGAAAATAATTTTTTAAAGTTTTCCATTTACATACCTATATGTAATATCAAAAAAATATTTTTTAATTATTAATCCTTAAATTTTATATATTCTTTACAGTCCCATTGACTTATCATTGATTTATATTTTCATTCATTATTTAAATAAAGCGGATTAAAAGACGGTAAAAAGAGATTAGTATTTTTTCTTAGAAAATATCTTTGAAAATTTTTCTGTAATATTTACTATATAAATATAAAATTAAATATTTATTTTTTAAATATTTTTTCAAAGATTTGACATTAATTCCTTTTTTATTTTAAATAACAATAGTATTTATTTTGTAAAATTTTAGAATAAATTTCGATATTTTCCATTAAATATTTAAAAATAATTTTCTTTATTAATTATAATATTTTTTTGTTAATAATAGATTAATATTTATTTAAAGGATTTGAATGTGTGTTAAATCCGGAAAATATTTTTTTATTTAAGAACCTTCTATATATTTAAATATTTTTATAAAATAAATTTTTTTTGAAAAATAAAATTGAGTTAAACAGATTTTTGACGCTAATTTAATTAAGCAAATATTCTTTACTCTCATTCTTTGCGCAGGTAAACTTTTTCTTTTTTTCGACCAAATACATATATAATTAAATTAATTTTATTTTTTTTTATTTTTCTTATTCAAATAGCAAATAATTATTCATTATTTATTTAAACATAGTAGGTAAATATATTTAAGTTCAGTTACTTATACAATTAGGTATTAGTTTTATACCTACTTTTTAATGGAGTTCATTGTTTTTGCCAAATTTATTTCTTAAACTATCAAAAAATTAATCTTAAACAACTTAAAATATTTTCTTATCAAAAAAATATTTTTTTATTTAAAAAAATATTTGACACCAATTATATTTAAATATTAATTGTTCAAAGCTCCATTTAAAGGATTTTTATACATTTTTGTTGTTTTATTCTTAAAATCTCATTTTTCTCATATGATTTCCGTTGCTTGCCAACAAAATATGAAAATGGTTTCCGGCCTTTTTATAAAATAATTTTGCCAAGTCTTTAGCGTGTATTTATTGGCCTTTACACATTTTTTGTTTTCTTTTTTTTATATTTTATTCGTCAGAAAAATTTATTTATTTAGAATTACTTACATATTTGTTAAGTATTTTTGTATTTATTTAGTAATATATTGATGGTAAACAGAGTATGATTTTTTTAACATTTTCGACAATTTTATTTCAGAGGATTCGATTTTTGACCCTTCTTAGACTGTTCTTTCTATATATTTTTTCTGATTTAATTTCTGCTTTCTGAATTTTAATGAAACCGTATCCGATTAATACATAATTATTTTAAGTTACTTAATGTCTTCATTACATATCGTGGGTCTGCGAGTTTCGCCTTTCGCCTTTTTTGGTCGCTTTTTAAAATAACTTTCGGCGGCACTACCCTATTACATACATGTTTTAACATCTTCAAAATTTTTTTGGTTTTATTACGAATTATGTTTTTATATATTAATTTGCTAAAAAGCTGTCAACCACAAAACACACAACCAAATCATCATAATTATTTTTTGCTTGCACTTTACATATACATATCCATTTATCCAATTATTTAAAGCAAAAAATTCTTCTCTCCCATTTTTTTCAATGCAAAAGCAAATTACATCACTCTTTCTCTGTTGCATCTACTTCCGGTCCGGAATATAGCCAAAATATCAACACGTCAGTAATTTTATGACAAATACAAACCCCTTTCATATATTCCTGCGGAAATATCCATGCCCATAAATGTTTTTTTCGTTATTTTTTTTGCTTTTTCCACGTTCCGTTTATTCTTCTTCCGTTCTTTTTTGGTTAGTATATATTTTTATGGAAAATATATTAGCTCGTAAGAAAGCAAATAGGCACGAGAAAAATTAAGCTTAAAGGCTTTAAGGAACTAGAGAAAATAGGGAAAAGGAAGAGAAATATTTTTTAACTTGAGTTGGCAAGAGATTATTAGACAAACCCGAAGAAATCTCGACTCCGACATTAAATCTCGTCTTGAAGAAACTTCTCTTAGTTTTTTCACTCCATTTTCAACTAAACAGGCATGAGAGACTAAAAAATGGGCAAGACTTTTCGTCCTCGGTTGGTTCATTTATCTCTCCCTCATCTCTCTACTTTTTCTTTTTTTCAAACATCATATACATATATTAGTTTCTCTCTCTCTTTCATTTTCCAGCACGAGAATGCCATAGCTATAGCTATGGCATTAAACAAAAAAATTTTACAAACTAGATATAGCGTTAGAAACGATAGCTAAAATGCCTAGAGCTAGAGAGGAAAATAAAAAGAAAAAGCAACTTCCATAGCTTTTTCCATTTCATTCTCTCTATTCGCAGTCCATATAGCCCCACGTCATTTTTTATCTACAATTTTCACAATTAGACGTGTTAAAGCCTTTAGGCCACAGAATAACCAGTAAATTACGTAATAATAATTTTGAATAGGTCCCCAATTAACTAAAAAATATAATTATTTATCCAGACATTTACTTACAAATTAGATATGTAATTATTTTATATTCCCTCATTTGTTATTTATAATTGTTTTTTTTAAATTTTATTTAAATATTATTCATAAACTGATTTTTTGTCATTGGAATAATTACAATATTTTTTTATTAGATGATTAAAGTTTATAGATCACATTTTTCTATTCAATCTCACGTCATTTTTATTACAATTTCCTTAAAAAATATTTTTTTATGATTTTCTATTTTGATTCAAATTAAAAAATAAAAACTTAAAAATAAAAAAATATGCCCCCTTAAATTTATTCTTTCTTTCCTTTTACTTTTAATTTAATTTTAAAAATTAATTTTTTGAAATATGTATATGTACCTATATGGAATTAATTTAAATTCTCTAAATAAATATATTTAAAATAAACACAATTAAATTAATTTTATTTTAAAAATTAATTTCTTTTTAGAAAATTTTTAAGAATAAAAAAATAGATATTTACCTGCATATATTCTCTCATTATTTATGGTCCCATTATTTTTTTAGATAAAATATTTATTTTTCATTGAAATATTTTTATCTAAAATTATTTTTTTAAATTTATTTTTACCAAAAACCTTTTATTTTAATTTTTAAACTTTTCTGGTCCATTAAATATTCTAGACAAAAAATTGTCCTTTTGGTTAAACAAATTTTCTACTCTTCCGAGGAACGGCATTAAAATATGAATAAAATAAATGCCAATATTTTTTGTGTTTTTAACACTAGAAGAAACTAAATATATACACTTTATTTTATCTACTATTTTCCCTCTTACTTTATTTTTATTTTTTATTGCCAAACTTGTCAATCGTTTATTTATGTACGATTTGTACTCATATGCTTCCTCTTTTTATTTTTAATAATTTTAAATAATTTTTATATTTCCCTTAAATTAATATTTTAAATGTTTTATACTAGAGATCGAGCTGGGCCTGGACCAAGGTCTGGGTTTTTCATGTACCCATAGTCCAGGCCCAGACATTTTTGACCTTCCTGGGTTTTTCCTGGATTACAGGCCCAAGATCCTGCCCAGGTCAATAAATCAAAACCAGAGTGCAGGAACAGGTCCAGGCTTTTCAAAAATCTCTATCTCTATTTTATACTTCAATAAACTATAAATATTTAAAAGAAAATTTTTACATTTTTTGTAAAACTTATTAAATTAAAAAATAATTTTCTTCCCATTACAATTTTTGCTAAAATTATTTTTCTCCAGATTCTTTTTAAATTTTTGTTTTTTCCTTTCATTTTTTAAATTTTCTATTTTTTATCTAAAAATAAGTAAAACAATAAAATTTATTTTTGAATTTAAAAAAGGAAAATTTTGTTGGAAATTGAGTAAGTGTGTTGGTGAATAAATAAATATAAATATATTTTTTCCCTTTTGTTTCTTTTTTTGCTATTTATGAGAAAATTTTAAAACGTGTCAAAAATGTTTCATTTTTATTTTTTAAATTATGACGTTATATTTATATTTTTCCCTTTTTTCAATTTAATTTTATTAATCTAATCTTTAATTCTCGAAAAGTATATTTTTTAAATTTTTAATTCTTTGTCACGGACAGATTTTTCTTTGTCGGAATTAAAAGAAAAATTATTTAAATTAATTTTATAATATTAAAATTTAAATATAAGAATTTTTAATTTAAGGTTTCATTTAATAATTAAGTATATAAAATGTCGTCATTTTAAAAAGAAAAGTATAAGGAAAGGAAAATATAAAATAAGGTTTTATTTGTGGTCCCATAATTGTAGAATGAATTGTGGTTAATTGGATATTTTTTAGAGAATTTAAAGATTGAATTGGCAGATTTTTTGGGTAAGTAGAAAACCGTTGAAACTAAATTTTGAACACATATAAGCAATGCTTAAACCAAAGTCTGACTTTAACCACAATTTTAATTTTTTTATAATGAGGAGGGTAATTGGAATAAAAATAGGGGGGATAAGGGGAGAATGTGTTAAAAAGGAGAAATAATAAATGGAAATACATTATTAGATAAAATCGAAGAAATTTTATTTTAATTATTTAATAATCCTCTTCACTTTAGTTTCTCTTTCAAATTTTTTTATTTTTCTTATACAAATTCATTCGCGCGAGTCTGTTAATGACAGACAAAGTTATCTGTTGGATTAAAAGAAAGGAATTTAATTAAAGCTTTAATTATCACGTCATATTCAGCAATAAATTCATTCCTGTTAATCCTTTTGAATTTAAATACCTACATACCACTGCCGTGGTTACTGGTTAAAAGATGTGGGTGTCGGGGAATCTAAATTTGTCTTTGGCTCAAAAATGAATAAAAATTTAACGAGGCCAAAAACTTTATTAGGTGGAGCAACGATAGCCAATCCGCTCTAATTTAATCCTCTCTAACTTAAGCGCTGTAGGTTAATTCAATTTGGATCTAATTTTACTAAAAGAATATTTTATAATTTTTATGCCGATTTGGTGATTTATTTTTAAACATACCGTATTTACTGAAATAATTATCCGGGGTAATTATTGTTTCGATCTCTCGCTGGAGGGGGTAATTAATAGGGAATGGGTAATTATTTGAGTTTTTTTCAGAAAGGCTAATTATAACTATTTTTAAGAGGGGTAATTATTTTTTCGATCTCTTGCTGTAGTGGGTAATTAATAGGGAGTGGGTAATTATTTGAGAGAGGGTAATTATTTGAGTAAATACGGTATTCCCAACATTTTCCAAACACCTTTATTTTGTTTTTTGTATTAATTGTTGCTTTAACATTTATTATTTTTCTGTCCTTTATAAAAAACATTTTCCTATCAAAAATAACAATAAAAATGTTTTTCTCAAAAATTTTTTTAAAAACAAAAAATTTTTATATTTTTGCAAACAAACAAACATTTTGTGTTTTCTTCTTTTATATTAAATACTAAATTCGTCATTTTACCATAATTTTAGAGTTTTTTTTGTTTAATTGCCCCCCCCCCCCCTTCGAATAAATTTCTTATTCCATCAATCATCTCTTTATTTTCTTAAAAATCTTTTTTCTTTTATTTTTTAAATTTTCCTTTTTTAATAAAAATATAATTAATTAATTAATATATCCCTTAATTTTATTTAAACTTTTTTTTCAACGTATGACTTTCTCTTTTTTTTTGTTTTGTGCGCGGTGCATTGTCACTATCCGCACTCTTCAATTATACAGCATTGGATCAGATGAGAAAATAAATTTAAAAAAAAATAAAAAAACTCTTTTAATATTTTACTTTAAATTAAAATTTTAATTAATTATTTAATTAATCAAAAAAGTGAAAAATATTATTTACTACTTAAATCACAAGTTTTTATATACACACAAAAGTAAACAATTATTATTTTAAGAAAATAAAAATATGTATAAATATAGAAAAATATTTAATAATAGTGCAAATTAGGAGCATTATTCTTCATTTTCTAATTATTTAAAAATTTAACAAACAAATATACACTAATTAAATATATATCTATTTAGTTAATCTCTCAAATTATTGGTAATGAAAATTTGACAGAAACTCCATACAGTGCTGGGTATGACTTCGGAAGCTAACTTTGAAGCCTCCTCCGGCCTCAGCCGGAGCCAAGAATTTAACCTGGGCCATAAAAGCCAATACCCCTTACTACTCTAAAACTAATTGAACGATTTTCTTAATTTCTTTCGATTTACATGAAAATTTGAGTTTTGAATATTATTACAAAAAATAATAATTATCATTTCTTTAAATTTATCAATTCCACATTTTTAATTCTTTTTAAGTATTTTTAATTTTACAAATAATTTTATCTATTTATAATCTTCAATAATTCCTTCAATAAAAACTTATTTAGTTTTTATTTTTTAGATGCCTTTAATTATTGAATTATTTTCTTAAAATATTTATTATTTAAATTAAATAATTTCTGCAAATGTTTGAAAGGGATGTTACAACAAATGACATTGACCGACATAATTCATTAATGATTAGTGGAGACAAAAATTTACAAAACCAGAAAAAGCCTATTTATGATGTATTTTTGGGGGGATCTTGTGGAAATACTTGTTGGAGGTAAATAGAAATAAATAATTATTTTTGTTTATTGGGAAAGAAAAACAAATATAAATATTTAAAAAATTAGTACCTACATATTAGTAACTTATCCACAATATTAATTTAATATTTTATTTAAAAATTAATAAAAAAATAAATTCAAAATTTATCTAAAACCCCCTCAAAAACTTTTTTTTATTTTCACATAAATTGACAATTTCCGGCAAATTAAAGTACAAAATAGAAATTTATTTTTTTAAAAGTTAATTTAAAGAATATTTTTAAAAGAAATTTACTTGTGTGGGCGTCTATTTTCCCTTTTTTTCTTTGA